TTAGTTTCTTTGCATTGATTTAATATGTGTTCTTTTAGCTCACAAAAGTTTCTCAATATCCACCTTCTGAAGTCTTAATTCCGTCATTTCGTCACAGTCATTCTCCGTCCAGCTTTGTTCCCTTGCTGGTGAGGAGTTTTGGTCCTTTCTAGGAGGCGAGGTGTTCTGGTTTCGGGTGTTTTCCTCCTGTTTTCGCTGGTTTCTTCCCATCTTTGTGGATTTATCCACTTGTCGTCTGCGTAGTTGCTGACTTTTCGATTGGGTCTCTGAGTGGACACCCAGATTGTTGATGATGAAGTATTTCTGTTACTTGGTTTTCCTTCTACCAGTCTAGCCCCTTCGCTGTACAACTGCTGAGGTCCACTCCAGGCCCTGCTTGTCTGGGGTGCACCTCTAGCAGCTGTGGCACAGTGAGGGATGCTACCAGTTTCTTTTTCTGCTATCTTTGTCCCAGGATGATGCCTGCCAAATGTCAGTCTTTTGGATATAGAGGTGTCAGGGAGCTGCTTGAGGAGACAGTCTGTACTTTATAGGAGCTCAATTGCTGAGCTGTGAGCTCTGTTGTTCATTCAGGGCTGTTAGGCTGCTATGTTTGATTCTGCTGCAACAGAGCTCATTAAAAAAACCCTTTTTTTCCTCAAATGCTCTGTGTTGGGGGGTTCGGGCTTTATATTTGGATGTCCATTGAGGTGTTCTGCCCAGCTAGGAGGCAGACTAGCCACTGTTTGCCTGCCGAGGCTCCGCCCTGCTGTTCTGTGGTTCGCCCTGTTGCTGCAGGCTCTGCTGTTCTGCTGTGGTCTCCACCATGCCCTGCAGCGGAGTCTCTCTGTTGTAGCGGGTTGCCTCGGCAATGGCAGGCTTTGTCAGCAGTGGGCGTGTATCTCAGTAGGGACCGGTTGCCTCAGCAATGGCTGGCTGCGTCAGCAGTGGGCGTGTATCTCAGTTGGGGTGGGTTGCCTCGGTAATGGTGGACGCCCCTCCCCCACAGAGCGTCTCGGACCGTCTGCACGGGGATCGTTTGAAATCGCGGTTTTGTTCGTCCCACTGGGCTACCCCAAACGCTCTGTCCCTGCAATCCCCTGGGCTGGCCCACTGTCCAAGTCTCGTTCAGTCTCAAGTCCAGCCCTCTCAAGTCTCAGGTTGCCGGTTCAACAGGGCACCTGGACAAGCACGCCCTATGGGGAGCGCTGGGTAGGGCCGGCTGCCGCCACTCCTGCTGCCGGCTTCGCCAGGCAGAGATACTGCCTGGCGTCCCGCATCTCCTTTATACTTGGGAATTTCCCCGTTCTGTGGGCAACAAAGATCAGTCTGGAAATGCAGCTCCGACTCACCTCTCCGTAGATTCAAGGAGAGCTCCAATCCTGGGTTGTTCTCACAGCGCCATCTTGAGTCCTCCCCCTGGGTTATTATATTTTAAGAAAAATACAGAGTCCTAAAATTTGAACTTAGAAATATATGAAAAATTTATTCTGTATCAGATATTTATTCCTGCAAACATTTGTTAACATTCACCTGACTCAGTATTGTTTTTCTATATTACTATATAATGAATGTCATATTTTAAAATAAATATTTTTATTATGCAGTTAATATGTGCTCACATTAGAAATTCTGGTAAATACAGGCCTGTACCTGTAATCCCAGCTAATTGGGAGGCTGAGGCAGGAGGATCACTTGAGTCCAGCCTGGACAACATAGTGAGTTAGAGACCAGCTGGGGCAGCATAGTGAGACCCCATCTCTAACAAAATAAAATAATTAGCTGGGCATGGTAGCAAGTGCCTTTGGGAGGGGAAGAGGGTAAGATTATTGGAACCCAGGAGTTCGAGGTTGCAGTGAAGTATAATGGCATCACTGCACCCCAGCCTGGGCAATACAGCAAGATCCCATCTCTAAAAAACTTAAGTAATTTTTTAAAAAGGTAACCTAGAATATACAAAAATTTCTACCCAGAAATTACTACTGGTTAGATGTTTTCTTTTTGTGTTAAATAAAATTGGGATCCAGTTATTTACCACAGACTGTTTACCTATATTTTTCTCAACATTTTTTATTTACCATCATATCTTGAACATTTCTTGCCATTAAATATCTTCAGAAACATAATGTTTATTGTCTTTGTATTATTTTATTTTATTATGTTTATGCGTCAGATATTATTTAAACATGCCCTTTTTCTTGAACATTAAGATGGGTTTTGGTGTTTTGATACAGTTTTTAAAAATACTGTTATGATTATTTTCATGTATAATTATACATGTATCTTTGGATAAGTTCAAGTAAAAGGATATAAATGTTTAAAGTGACATACTAGTTTAATGAAGTGTGTGATCTCAGTGCTAATAAAGTATTAGATATTTCAATTTATTTAGGAGTAGGAATTTTTGACATTTGGAGAGTTTTTATGTAAATGAGCTCATATCTTGCTTCAACTTAAATATTATATTATAAACACCTTTCTATGTTACTACTTATATTTCTACTTTATTTTTATAATAATTGCATAAAATTATTTAAATGAACCATAATCTAATCTAATCTTAAAAGATTATCTTTTTAAGGATATTTACCTTTTTCTCCTAGCTCCTAGCTAGTACAAATATTGTGCTGCAGTTTTAACTATCTTTGGTCATTTGTGTAAATTGCTAGAATTAGATTTCTGGATCATTTTAAATTTTGACACGTACTGCCAAATTTCCCTCAACAAAACGTTTAAATACAGTAAAGGAGAGTTTTCCAAACCAACTATAACATTGGGTCTTTTAATTTCTGACAGTTTTATAGATTGTATATGGTATCTTACTTTAATTTTCATTTCTTTAATTCCAAATAAGATTAGTCATGTTTTTGTATGTTTGTTAGCCATTTGTCTTATACTTTACACTTTTAAAATTTGAAAATTTTAAATATTTGCTAGCTTTCTTTAGCAAGATAAATGCAATTAGGAGTAAATATTCTATTCATACTTTGCTTTAAAAATCATTTATTTCATGTCATTGTTAGTATTGATAAAAATGTTATATAACATTTTATTTTTGTGTGGCTTTTGCTTTTTTTTTAGCAAGTGATTCACTGCTTTTTTCTGCCATAGGAATAGAAATATTTATTTTCACATAGGTATTATGTTATAATCTTATAAATTATTTTTACAAATTGGTAATATGTCACTGAATTTTAGGAAAAGTCATGGATAGAATCATATATAAAATGTCATGTATTTTGGCATGCAAAGGAAAGTATTCACTTATTTTTAATAATTATTTATAGAGTTATAAACTTTAGGAATTCATTAAGGTAATCAGTTCTAAGATATCATTCACTAGACCTAACTATTTATAATAATGAATATATTGTTAACACTAATGTATATAATAGTATCATTACATGGATAGTTTTCTTATGATTTCACATACATTATGTCAGTTGACTCAGGGTAAACTTTAAACCCTACAAAATACTATGTGATCACAGTTGAAATCACATCGTGGTAACTTGGGTCTATATAACTACAAACCCGTGCTTATCATTATTATTATTATTATCATCATCATTATTTTAGTAAATAGATTCACAGAAATGAGAAGTCCTCTGCCATCATCAAATAATAATTGCTATTCTTGCTACCCATAAATAAATGAGGATGACGAAAGCTTCTCCTATTTTGTGTGTTATAACCACAATCACTTACATTTGAATAGCATTCTATTCATTCATAAGTTGATTTCACATCCTTTAACTTATCCTTTAAATAAGCATTTTAGTTAGCTAAGACTAAAAGTAGGGTCTTGTTTTCATGCAAAAGGAAAAACATCTCGGGGAAATGATCTTTTTTAGGTCAACAGTCAGTTAATGAAGAGACAGAATCTAAGGCTTCTGTGTTTCAGATGGACAATGATGATCTGTCATTTGCCAAGTTGAATGCATACAATTTGATGTATTAGTAGTCTCTAAACAAGGTTGAAAAATGAAACAGAAAAAAGACTGTACTTTTGTTTTTCCATTTGCCTGATATTTTATAATTCTTTACTGTAAAACAAGGCATAGGTGAGATTTTACCTCTTCCTCCTGAGAAAGAATAGTTGTTCATAGGCCAAAAATCTTTAGGAAAAGGCCACTAAATGAAAGTGATAAGAAACATACACATACATACACTCAAACACACTTCACTCTGATTCTAAATTAGGAATATTTTAAGGTTTAAAGTGCATGAACAAGCCTAATGATTGGCATTTTGAAGCCAAGATTTTATTTTGGACTCATTTCCATTTTAAATATAGTAGAGTTTATTATTGGTATTTTATTAATAATATTGCTTATATTTTGGTATTATATACATTAAATGTTTGCCTTTTCTAAGATGGACATTTCTTAATTGATCTTATTATGCTTATTTTTAATGGAAATGTGCCTTAATTTAAATGGAAATTGTTAAGAAAATGGAAGCACTCAATACATTTGCCTTCCAAAAACATTGCTGGAATCTCTGTACATGCTTGCCTATATTCTATATTGCCACATCTGAGAACATTGCTTAGTATATTTTGTAAATTTTGTCTGGCAGAAATACATATTTTTCTTAATGCATACCCCCCAAAGTCATTATCATTGAGAGAGTACAGACTGCCAACCCTCATCAATAAGATTTTTACTTCGAGTTGCTTTTTCTTAGGGTATTGATGAGTGGAAATATTTTTGTTCAATTCTGATTAATTTGTGAGTTTGATAGAAGGAGCAGACTTGCCTATATTAGTAAAATGACTTTTTCCATTAAGACCTATCTGTCTCTAAAAAGGATCAAGTCTCAGTGAGAATTAACCTCTTTATCACTCTATTTAAATGAGTTGAGCCAACTGCTTTCAATAGTGAAATTATTTCATGGCAGGTTTTATGCTCTACCAACCATATAGGATCCCAGCTTGATATTTTTAAAGAGTAAAGATAGGTTGAATGCAATTCTTGTCACTAATATTAACTGCATATATGTCTTTTCTCTTGGAACAGCTCAATGGTTATTCGGGACTTAACCTTACGCAGTGCTGCTAGCTTTGGCTCCTTCCACCTGATTCGTCTACTCTACGATGAATATATGTTTTACTTAGTAGAACATCGTGTTGCTCAGGCAACAGGAGAGACTCCTATAGCAGTCATGGGCGAGGTAAGAGAGGCTAAAAGAGCTATGACCCACTGGGTTTTAAAAAATAAACTAGAATTACACTTCAGTCTAAATATTAATTATTGATTAAAACCATGGTTCCTAACCAAGTCAGCCTCAGACCCAGGAGGGGCTGTGTAGTTATTGCAAGGGTTCCTTAAATCCCTCTGTTCATATGTTCTTAATCAAAAGATTCTAAAATTGTAGAGTGTATCATGTGAAAGTTCGTGGATTATCTCTATTATACAGGTGCCTATGTAAAAGAAAAGCTTGAGAAACACTGGAATATGAAAAATATTTTAAATGGGAAAAAGACTGGTGCTTCTGATAAAGCAGATAGCTAGGAATACAAAGGAAAATGTTTGAATATTCTAGGCTATTCTTTTGTAGACTCTTTTTTCTAGTCCCCATGAACAAAGTAAATGGTTGTATTTTAGAAGGATAAAAATGGTAATGATGATAACCAACATTTTTTGGACACTTACTATGTGCCAGGCACAGATCGATGTTTTTTACCTATAATACAGCACTTAACACAAGTCCTTGAGACAGGTTCTACTTTATCTGTTTGACAATAAGCATCGAGGTTTATGTAGAAAGCTAAGGCACAGAAAAGTTAAACAATTACTCAGCTAAAAAATGGTAGAGATTTTTTTTCGAACACAGTCTGATTTTCAAACCCATGCTTCTAACCACTAATGATCTGAGGGGGAAAATTCTCTTCTTCAGAATTTCTGGATAGTAATCAAAATGGCTTATCTTCAACAAGTGTCAAAAAGCTAAAACTGAATATGAACAAGACCTGGTTAATATAATGAGGAATAGATGCAAATGTTCAAATGATTTAGCACTAGCTTGTTGTTATATTGAATGCTGAAGGCAGGGGTGGTTTATACCTTGTTGAATTAAACCAGATTAGAAAATGTGAAAAATTACCCAAGGCAGCAAAAAAGACATGTTCACTTTTAAACTAGGTGTATGTGTGTATATAAATACAAAAGAATGAAAATATACATTATTAGATGCTGTTCCTAGTTTAATATAACAAGTTATACAATAAAATATATTAAAATACTTCAAGGACCTCCATAATATTCTAGTGTAAATAAAATACATGTCAAACTTGTCTAAAAGGTCAGTTAAAATATTCATCTTTTCCACTTCTTTAAAACCCCTTGCTGTATAGCAATCTATATGTCTTTGTATGATGTTCCCTGATGATGATTAATCTTAAATAATGTCAAATATATATGTGTGATTAAGCAGGAATCACTGTGGCTTTCCCATTGTAAGCAGGACCTCACATGACCAAAACAATCTGGACTTTTCTTACATTTGACTTCCTTTCATTGCCTCTTTCTTTACTTGCTTTATAGATGCCTTGTTAGAAAATGCCCAGTTAGGGCCGGGCGCGGTGGCTCAAGCCTGTAATCCCAGCACTTTGGGAGGCCGAGGCGGGTGGATCACGAGGTTAAGAGATCGAGACCATCCTGGTCAACATGGGGAAACCCCGTCTCTACTACAAATACAAAAAATTAGCTGGGCATGGTGGCACATGCCTGTAATCCCAGCTACTCGGGAGGCTGAGGCAGGAGAATTGCCTGAACCCAGGAGGCGGAGGTTGCGGTGAGCCAAGATCATGCCATTGCACTCCAACCTGGGTAAGGAGAGCGAAACTCCGTCTCAAAAAAAAAAAGAAAGAAAAAAGAAAATGCCCAGTTAGCATGTGGATTCAGTACTATAAAATTTCTCCACTCAGGGTTCAAGACTTCAGAAATGGACTTTGCCTTTTAGTATACTTAACACATTTTCCGTGTACCTCATATGCTCTAGGACTTCTTTAACAGGATAAACAGGATAATGATAGTGGGGATTCTCCTTAACACCATGTGGCTAATCCTGATGCTTGACCTTTGGTTTACCAGATGCAAGTATGCATCTCTAGGGAACAAAGGCAGTGGACATAAGCCATTCACACCGTGTGAAAGCTTAGCAATCTCCTAGTATGCTTGCACAGGTGGCACCTGAATTAAAATGGGCTAATCAATAGTGCCAACTAACCATAATCGGTATTCTTTTTTTCTCTACATGTAAACAATCTAAATGAATATGACAGATTTTACATGAGACAAAGATATATATATATATATATATAATCTAAATTAAAAGCAAACAAGGTCAAAGATCTAAGCGTCCTTTTTGATTTCTTTGCTTACTCAGTTTATAGGAAAGCTGTTTGACCAATCTATGCTCATCCATTATTTACCCTAAAAGGCAAATTAAGGCTAATTTTATTTGATCTCCCCATACAGCATTGATGCCTCATATAACTGTTTGCTCTAATAAATCTGTTGGTCGTGGTCATACTTATCGTATCTAAAATTTCTTGGTTTGGGGAAAAAAAGAAGGAAATTCAAAAAATAGGAAGTCTGTTTTCTCACATTCTCCTCACATTATCCTAAGCCTACCTTCTCTTGGTTCCCTTGGTGACTTCCTTTTCTGATCACTAAATCCAGATATGCTTGGGTATATGGTGGGAGCAACACATCAGGCCAAAATCCATTGAAATCTATAAAAATCACCATAACTCCCAGTCACAGAGAGTGGTATGGAATAATGAGTAATAATAGCAACCACAAAGACAAAACATTTGTCACTATTTATTGAGAGCATATTATTGACCTAACAAAATTAATAGTCTTGCTGTATCTACTAATGGCTCTTTCTCAGTAAATGGCACCACGATCCTTCCAGCTGATCATATCAGACACGTGAGCATTCCCTTTTTTTGTCCTTCTATCTTATCTTCCATCTCCGACCAATACTTAGTCTTCTGTCTCTCAAATCCCTCATAGTGCAGTCAGTATCATCTTATGAAAATGCAAAGCTGACTGTGCCATCCCCCACTTGAAACGCTTCAGTGGCTTTCCCTTCTGTTACTAACATGAGCTCTTGCATGATCTGACCCTGCCCCTCTGATCAATATCATCCTCCCACTTCCTACTCTTTCTGTTCCAAACACAGTGGCCTTTTCTCTGTCCTCATTCACCAAGCTTTTCTCATCCTTGGACTACTGCATGTAAATGGTTCTTTCTACCTGGTAGCCTCTGCCCATCTCCCCGTGCCCATTCTAACTCCTACTTCATGTCTTAAAAATCAGTTTCCCAGGGAGACTCAGTTCTTACAGAATACCTTAAATAGTTCTAGTCTTTCTGATTTATACACTTGTCATTCTAGAAGCTCCACAATACTAACTGCAGAGTTCTTTGTTTGATTTGTATAAGCAAAGATGTAGTACCTGGAAACAAGGACTTTGAGTCAAGCGTGAATTCTACTTCAGTTCTGTCATGTCTAGTGGTAAAGTCTTGTTGACTTGTGTTGAACTTCAGATTTCTGATCTCTGAAACTGATTTATCATTTATTAAACAAGATTTTCTTGTGCAAATACTCTATGCCACATCTATCATGATTGGAATATAATGATGAACAAAATGGATTTTTACCCTGCCTTCAAGGATCTTACATTTCAATGGGGTATACATATTTAAATAGTCACATAACTATACCTACAAACTTTGTTTTGTGCTGTGAAGAAAAGTTAAAGGGATATAAGAATGCTTAAAGCATGGGGTGCTAAATCTAGCCTAACTGGAACAGGCCTGGTCCACTTAGGCTAGATTTAGTGCCCCATGCTTTAAGCAGGGATGTGTGAGGTAAGAGCCAAAGGACAAAAGATATTAACTCTGTGAAGACAGAATCTGAAGGAAAGGGGTGAAAAACACCCTAGGCACAGGGGAATGTTCGCATAGCCAAGGGGAAGTTTTCCTGGGAAACCTAAGGTTCGAGCACCAGGTAAACCAAATTAACACTGCCAAATTCAACAGACAAGAGGAGAAATTGAATTCGGATAGAAGGTCAAAGATTTCAAGTGAAGCTAACACCTACATAGCAATTGTGTGCCAGGTACTACACTAAGTGTCATATATACATGTTAATAACTTCCCACAGACCTATAAGTGGATACTATTATTACACCTATATTACAAATGATGAAATGAGAGGCTGGGCACAGTGGCTCATGCCTGTAATCCCAGCACTTTGGGAGGTCAAGGCAGGTGGATCACCTGAGGTCAGGAGTTTGAGATCAGCCTGGCCAATATGATGAAGCCCTGTCTCTACTAAAAATACAAAAAAATTAGCTGGGCTTGGTGATATACACCTATAGCCCTAGCTACTCAGGAGGTTGAGACAGGAAAATTGCTTGAACTCGGTAAGCAGAGGTTGCAGTGAGCCTAGATCACACCACTGCACTCTAGCCTGGGCAACAGAGCAGGACTCTGTCTCAAAAAAACAAAAACAAAAAAGAAAAAGAAGAAGAAATGAGACACAGAGCCAACAAGTAACTTGCCCAAGGTCACACAACTACTAAATTGTGAAATCAGGTTCTGAAACCATGCAGTCTGGCACCAAAGTCCTTGCTGTTAATCTATCATGCTTATGACTTGCTACAAATTGGGGTAGGATTGGAGCAAGAACAATTTCAGGGACAAACCTGCCAAATAGTCACAAACTTTGCTGGACATTTATTTTGCCTTTATAGGTGCTTTCTTTGAAGAATGTGTCAGTTAAATAGTTTCATAAACAAGGAAAAAGGCTTTCCTTTTAAAGTAACATAAGAACAATTAATGTATCTTTTCAATAATGTTAACTCAGTAAATGAGTTTTAAAATTAACATTACTTACATTATTTGAGCAGGCAAGCAGAACAGACCAAACGTTTTACATATAAACAAAATATGCAAGCATACAAACTATTACTTTTGAATTGTAACACTGTCATTTCAATGTTATAAATGTTTTTGTTGGTGGTGTTGAAATAAAGACTACTATACAAGGACCCCCCTCCCCCTGCCCAAACTGGAAACAGCTTCACAGTCCAAAAAAGTTTTCCTCTAAACGTCAGTCTACTACTACGTTAATACTGACTAGTAAATTATTTAAAG